ATCTGTTTTTGTTTAAGACTTAGAGATATTAAAATCCATAATTTATTGAAATAGGCAAGAAAAATGGGTATCAATTAGGTTTGCCCAACCAAGAATCAATGGAAGCATGGTAGATGGTAAGGGAGTATCAGCCTAAGCTTTTTGCTGTGAATTTTCCAGCTTGGAGAAAAATAATCCAATAAAAATAATTTTTTGTCCTCTACTTTGGCAACAATAAACCAGGGATGGAGAGGAAGCCTTGCTTCAGTCTAGCAAACATAGGTCAATGAGTTATTACAAACTGGCTACTAGTAGAATGGTAAGGCTCAGAACAAAAACATGAAATAAGTTTTCATCATAAAATTTTAAAAAACAGAAAATTAAAAAGAAAAAACATAAACAAAAATATTGCCTGTAGCTGTTTTCATTTTAAGCTATCAAAGTCATGGTCCACAGTATATTTTAAGAAAAAATGAAAGAACAGATGTGAAAGTGCTTTGAAAAAAGTAAAAATAAAGAGTCCACGTGCAAAGTTTTACCGCTGTTATTTTACTTTTTGTGGACTCCAACTCCATAGCAACCACTGTAGATATTTAACAAATATTAAATTATTCAATGAGCGTCTCCACCAGACAGAAAAAAAATGGTGGTATAATTTATAAATGTGGTATAAAATCCCTCAATAAAATTGATTTAGGAATATATATTCATATGTAAATGTTGAGTCTCAATTTCATCATTGTGTAGGACCTATCATCTTATTTGTCATTATAAAACCAAAAAGGTTTCTTCGTTAATCTCGGATTTAATCTCTCAAGTCACTCCCTGCTGCCAACACCTTCAAGTCCTCCTAGTCTGGAACAAGACTTTTAAACTAACAGGAGAATAGGTATGCTCCAAAAAGGTAGCCTTTCCTTTTCCTACTTATATTTTCTATTCAAGTGGATGAACGAGTACAGTTGAATCTAACTTTACTAATAGAACTTGCTTAATTGCCCTACTCACACAAAATAACTCTGAGGTATGGACCTTACTTTGAAAGCAATTTGACAAAAAAAATCACTGCAAAGATGACTGATGATGGTTGAAACCACAGCACATATTTTAAGGAAGGCGAATTAAACCCTTGATCAAGAACAATATTCTTAGGATGCTCCTGAAGGGGCTTCTAAATTTCTCAGTCATTATGCTGAAAACTGATGTGGACTACTAAGATCTTATTTACTCATGGCATTACACACACAAAAAAAATTATGTAGATATGGAATGGTCCATGCCCTCAAGGAGACCCAGAAGAATCGCAATAATACCTATTGAAGCTGAAATAGAATAAATCCTAATTCAGGTCCCTGAGCATATGAGGTCTATCCCTTTTATAACCCAAGCTTTATTTTATCCCACATAATTTTGTTCTTTCCTTGCATTTAACTTTCTCCCCCAATTTTTTCCCCCTGTCCATTGGTACAGTAAGAACATTGCATTGAAAAGGTACAGTTGAAGGAGCACTTAACGGGGAATTGGGAAGACCCAGGTTTTGGTCTTCCTTCTGACACTAACTGTGGGACCTTGGAGAAGTGTCTGGACCTCAAAATTATCTGTAAAACTGAAAAGGTTTAGAAGTAGATCAGAGTTTCTTAACCCGGGGCCTATGAACTAGGATGGGAAAAACAATTACATCTTTATTTCCACTAACTTCGAAGTGAAATTTAGTATTCTTTTCAATTATCTTAAAACGTGATTTTGAGAAGGGGTTCATTGGCTTCCCCAGATTCCCAAAGTGACCCACAACACAAAAAAAGATGAAGAACCTGTGGCCTAGAGGATATCTTCGGGGAAAACGGGCTGATTTAAGGCTGATGGGACCAAGAGAAGCCATGGTGGCAACAGATGGGCCTTGTAAGTTGGGTTGATAATCAGACAAGGAGTAGGTCATGGGAAGATTAGTAAGACCATTTAATGGGTGCTTCTTTCAGGCTTTTACCATTTTGGTATTAGTTGCTTTCTTTGCTATCTTTGCACAAATTTCAGTCACTTTGTGTCTTGAGACTTTCTTGAGTCTTTCTCTTTAAGAAATCTTATTAAGGCTTATATTTTCACATCATTGAGTGATCCAAGTCAACAAAGCCTTTACACACTATCTAATTTGAAGTATGACACCAGCTCTCAAGGGTTCAATTATCATGCAGATGATTCTGAGACATATAAACCCAGTCCTAACCTCCCCGCTGACTTCCAATCTCTCATGACTATCCGTCTTTTAGACAAGTTGAACTAGATGCCTCACAGGTATCTCAGATTCATCTTGTCTAAAACAGAACTCATTATCTTTCTCCCCAAACTCTTCCCTCTTCTGAAACTTTTGTATTGCTGACGGTAACAACAAGTTCTCGGTCACACAAGCCCCAAACCCTGGTATCATCCTTCCCTCCTCATTCACATTCACTCTAAATATACAATCTATTGCCAAATCTTGTCATTTCTACCTTCGAAATATCTCTTGTATGTATCTCCTTTTCTCCCCTAACAGAGCCAACACCCTGGTTGCAGACCCTTATTGCCTCACACCCAGGCTATTGCAATAAACTTCTGGTTAGTTTCTCGGTCTCAAGTCTCTCCTAACTCTACTCCCATCCCCCACTCAGTTTGCCAAAGTGATTTTCTTGAAGTTCAGGACTGATCACAGCACTCCTCCTACCCAAAGAACTCCAGTGGCTGACTATTACTTCCAGGATCAAATACAAAATCTTTGTTTGGTATTTAAAGATCTTTACAACCTGGCCCCTTTCTACTTTTGAAGTCTTCTTACACTTTACCTCCCTCTTTGATTGACTGGCACTCCTCGTTTTACTGTTCCTCACATAGAACACTCCATCTCTTAAAGTGGTATCTTTCCACTGACTATCCCCCATGCCTAATGTTGTCCCTTCTCATCCTGGCCTCTCAGCTTCTTTCAAGACAAAGCTCAAATCCCCACCTTCTGTAGGATACCTTTCCTAGCTCTCTCCTCCCTACAAACACACACACACACACACACACACACACATACACACACACACACACACACACACACCCCTTCTAGTGCCTTCCCTCTGAAATTTCTTCCCATTTACACTTTATATATCTTGGACGTAGTTATTTTCATGTTGTCTCCCCCATTAGAATGTAAGCTCCTTGAGGGCAAGAAATTGTTTTTTTACTTTCTTTGTATTGCTAGCATTTAGCATACAGCCTGGCCCATTGTAAATGTTTTTTAAAATGCCTACTGACTGACTGAATGGAAAGAACATGCCAAGAGTCAGATGAACTAAACAAAGGGAATTAGGAAGAGAGAGTTTCTGAGTGGTTGATTTAAGGGTAGATAACAGGGGAATTGTGTCCCTTAGACTAAGGATAAGAGTTGAAGAGGGTATGTGGAGGAAGGCCAATGGCTGGAAATCTCCAAGTGGGCAGAAGGCCAGAGAGCATCCAGAAGGGTCAGTAGAGCTGAAATGGATGAGAGTACAAATGTGATTCCAAAATAGGTTTAAGAACATGGATACTTAGTTGGTCAGGCAGATCAACCTGATACATTAATAAAGATGGGAAAGGGGGAGGGGTATGGTTCTATACATTATTGACATTAGTGACCCTAATTACTCCTTTATATACTGGTAAACTTCACACTCATGAACGTTTTTTTTTTTAGTAAACATGACAAAGCACATTTTGTTTTCCTGAAGTTATCTTTTGCTGGGATTTATTCAAGCCAATACTTCCCGGACTTTTTCAAACTACCTTTCTAATAATATACAAACGAGTTCTTGGAGACTTACAAAACATGATCTGATAAGCACATTCTAGAACGTTCTCAGAATTTCTCTGGATTCTCTTTTTGTACTAGATTCCATGTCTTTACAGCTAATTCTATTTAAATTCACCTCCCTAGTCTTCCCAACAGGCTGACTGGCTTAATGAAAATCAACTTAAAATCAATGTATGTTTTGTATGTGTGTTTGCATGTGGGTGTATTCCCCTCTAATAGTTTGCCAGGCAAAGAGTCACTTTGGGGAAATGTGATTCTTCAATTGACAAAAATGAATTTGAAAGTTAACAAATGGATCTCTAACACTAATGGCATGTTTGTTTTCTGTCAAATTTTTAAGCATCAGAGGATAATGATTTAATGAAGCTTCTTCCTAAGATACTCTGAAATCCATGGTTTCTATGTGTCTGGGCCAATTATTCACTGGTACCTTCAAAGAACTATCCTTTGTAGCTCAGAGCTTTGTCCCCTAATATAATCTGACTTTTCATGTATATATGGTATAGAATGGCTTAAAATTCATGGAGAAAGCAGTGAAATTAAGGAACACATACTGCTCTTACTTCTAACGGAGAAAAATGGAAAAAAGGGGACGTTTCTGGCTCCATATAGGTATCAAATGCATCCATTAATAATTCCAGTTTAAACCAAATGGCTCAAATAACCACAATCACGGTCAATAACATGATTCAAGATATTCACACGTGAAAAAGTTAATTTCTTAGAAAAAGTCATTACTATGGACTAACATCCAATATGTACCACAATCTTAACAATCAATATGCATTTATCTTTAAAACATTTTAGCATCAATAAAGCCTAGTCAATAGTCTCAAAGAGTAAGGGAAATACATGGAGATACAAGTCAATTAGAAAGAAAATAAGATTTTTCTAAAACATCCATTTCAGTATTGTTCTAGACAATTCAAGTGGTGCACACACCCACCCACCCTCCTCCAAAACCATTTGCACCAACACTGACACCCGTCCTGGGCCGTTACACGTTTACCACAAATTTCCTGTGCAGTTAAACTGCTATACTTCTTGCCCAGGACCCTGTTCCTAGCAATGACAGGTGCCATCTTTATTACCTTACCACCACACCGGCCCACTCACCCACCCACCCAAGTAAACAACCCTTACAAAAAGAGTAAATTCACTGGCACCAGCATCACAGACATTGAGGGAAGAAAGAATGACTTAAAGACTGAAAAATTACCTTGTGTAAAAAAAAAAAAGCTGTAGATAGTAGTGCTGGCGTTTGATTAGAGACCCTTCCTTTCTGGTCTGGAGAACTACTCTATCTGTCAGCCTCCTGTATGTGGTCTGAAGGCAGGAAGTGAGTTGGGTGACAAATCATCATCCAGAAAAGAAATAGATTTTGTCTTTATAAGGACATTTTACTTACTTTTTTTTTCACATCACCCTCCCCTACCACAATCACCTGACAGGGCAGGTCACACTGAAATGTAGAAGTCCCTTACCACTTCCTCTTCATAAGCATTTTTTTCTCTCTCCTTACCTCTCTTCCCTCCTCTAAGCTTGCTTCTAATGGGCGCGCAGATATTCCTTTTTTGATAAGAAAGCCAATTTTTACCATGCTACTCTGTAGTTCTTGTTCTAACCACAGCTCTGGTGGCATTGATTACTTAGTACTTACAACAAAGACAAGCAAATCATGAAATTTTTAGTAAAACAACAAAACCAATCACTTGAAGTTAGCTGGTAGGGATTACTTTGGGTCAGCTTTATCCACTCTCTCCCAGTAAAGTACTTCTCAGGAGCAATCTACTTAAGCCAGAACTGTCCCTTTAAGACCAAAAGGGGAAGGTTAGTTACTGTTGTAAACAGACTTCCACCCTAGCCTAAGGCATTATTTACTCATTTCTTTTATTTATAGTGCTACCATTGCCCTCACCTCGGAGGAGCTCATTTAACCCAAACAAGACTTAAATTATTTAGAAGTTTCCTATAAAGATTAGCATTAGGTAACCGAGACAGCTATCACAGCTAAATTGGTGGCTACATTCCTTCACTTGGATCAGAAAAGAGCAGAAGGAAAAAAACAAGACAAAACAAGAAACTTTTTTTTTTTTTTGCAAAATTACAATTAAGGAAAAATGAATGTTTATCATGCATAAAGCTTCAGGACTCTCTCTTGGAGGCAGAAAATTATTCAATGTTATATCTATGTATGCATGCAATGATCATCTGCACTGTATGAAATTTCATGTGAATGAAGCTCATATCCTATGAGCTTTTATATAAAATATGATAAATTTAGATTCACTGCAATGAAGACCAAAACAAAAAAGGTGAGGCACTTGGTCTAGTCAAATGAAGAATTATTGGTTCACGGATTAGAACCATTCCAGAAGGGACTTAACATGGGAGTGACTTTTTCTCCCTGCCCACTTGAGAAGGTTGAGTGTTGTATTACAGGACTACATTTTCTTCAGTATCTACTCTATGCATTCCCAGAAGTACTTTACTTTGGGTAGGTATTTCAGAAGGCAAACACATTCTTTAAACTACCGAGGAACCAGCACTTTATACAGTAGGGAGATTCTGCTGAATTTCATAGAATTAAAGAAATTGAGGGTTGGAAGGAAACTAAGCCTAATCCAACCTGAAAGGGCTATCCACTATAACAAACCTGGCAAGTGATTATCCAGCCTCTCTCTGCCTGCAGACCTCAAAAGGGATACCCTACCAACTCTCAAGGAAACCCATTCCACTTTGGGAGAGCTCTGATTGTTAGGAAGTTTCTTTTCACAATTTGCCTTTCTGTACCTTTCACCTTCTGCCCCTGCTTCTGCACTTTGGGGCCAAATAGTACAGGTATAATTCTGCACCGCCCTGTATGCCTGCCATGACAGCTCTTCTAATACTTGAAAACAATTATTACATTGCTTCCTTACCTTCTCTTTTCCAGGGCAAACATTCCCCGTTCTTTCAACCAATCCTCACATGACATAGACTCAAGGCCCTCTGGTTCCTTTGGACACTCTCTATCTTATCAATGTCCTCCTTAAACTGTTGGTGCAAACAATACTCCACATGAGGTCTGAAGAGGAGAGAGTACAGTGGGGCTCTGGGTCACCCTCGACCTCTTCCAAAAGAAAGAATTAACAACAACAGTGGGCCTATCTCCTCCCTGTTCCTGGAAGCTATGTCTCTCTTAATTTAGCCTAAGATCAAGTTAGCCTTTTTTGGCTACTGACTTATGTTGAACTTGTAGTGCACTAAAACCATCAGCTCTTTTTCGGTAGCTAGGTAGCATAATAGATAGTGTACTGGACTAAGAGTCAAGAAAATCTGAATTCAAATCCTGCCTCAGACACTTACTAGCTGTGTGGCACTGGGCAATTCATTTAACCTCTTTGAGCTTCAATTTCCTCATCTATAAAGTAAGGATGATAATATTATTTTACAGGCTTGTTTTGGGGATTAAATGAGATATTTCTAATGTGCTTTGCAAATCCTAAAGTTCTATATAAATGCTATTATCATTATCCATATTTCTCCCATCTAGTACTTGGGAAGTTGATTTTTTTTTTATACCAAGTGTAAGATTTTATAATAAGTGTATCTTATTAGATTCAGTCCATTACCCTAACAGGGGTTCCTAACCCGGAGAATGTGCACTTATTTTAAAATATTTTGATAACCATATTTCAGTATAGTTGGCTTCCTTTGTAGTCCTATTAACTAACTTTATTTTGTGCATTTAAAAACATTATTCTGAAAAGAGGTCTACACCAGACCAAAGTCCAGGACACAAAAAAAGTAAAGAATCCTCCAGAGTCTTGTTAAGATTCTTCTGCATGCTGACTCCATCAGCGTGTGAGCTGTCCATCCCAGCTCCGTGTCATCTGCAAATAAGATGAGAATGCCTTCTATGCCTTATCCAAGTCGCTGGTGATCATGTTAAGCGGTACAAGGCCCAGTCCAAGTCCGTGGGGTGGTTTACTGGAGACCTCCTGCCATTTTGACAGTAAAGCATTAACAACAGCTTTGTGAATCCAGCCAGCCAGCTACTTCTGAGCCATCAAACTGTCTCCTCCATTATCTTTCCATCACCTTCACAAGAATACTACAAGATACTTTACTAAAAGCTTTGCTAAAAATAGAGGTAGACTGCATCCACAGCATTCTACTTATTTATTAATTTAACAATCCTGCCAAAAATGGAATTGAGGTCAATCTGGCATGACCCGTTCTTGATGAAGTCACGCTAGCTCTTTGTAATCACCTCTTCCCCTTCTAGATGTTTACCAACCATGTCTTTAACGATAGATTCTAAAATATTCCCCGGAACCAAAGTCACACTCACTTGCCTACAGTTCGCAGATTCTATTCTCCTCCTTTTTTTTTTTTTTCCCAAATCTGGATAAGATCTTTTAGGCTTCTTGTACTGCTCCTTTTTTTTCCTATGATCTTTCAAATATCACTGACAGAGTCTCCACAATCATATATGTCAATTCTTCTAGAACCCAACACCATAGTTCACCTGGGACGGGTAACTCGAGGGCAGCTTAGTGTTCCCTTACTCTCTCCTTGCTTATCTCAGGTATCAACCTCCTATTAGTCATCTGTTAACAAATTGTTGAATTTGTTAAACTGAACCCATGCATCACACCTACCTCACTAAACAAACTACATAGTAGTAGATGACTTTATTCAGCATATTCAAAGATGAAAGGATTGATTTTTTTGCATTTGTTTTTTTTTAATTCTGAACTTAACAAACATCAAATAATAAGAGCTTTTCCATATACAAAATTGAATAGAAAAAGAGGACTGCACATGAAGCTTGTAAATTAATATTTAGTGTATGCCATAAATTATTAACTAGGAAACTCTAGTAGTAATGTACTAAATGGTGGCCTACTGACCTAAAGAGTTAGTGCTTTGGGGTTATTGTGGATCTGAGCACATACCTTTAAATAGCTTTAGTCTGATTCTGTACTTTTGTGGATTCAATAATGAACAAGGGTCCACTATAGTTTCTTGTAAAGAGAAAGTAGTAGTATTTCCTATTGTAACAGCAGCCTTCTGCATCTCCTTGTGTCTGCATATCTAAGATCTGGGTAACTTATAAGGAAAACTACATGCAGAAACACAGACAGAAAGTACGAACAAAAAATTTTAGCAGTCAATACACATTTATTAAGTGACTACTATATGCCAGGCACTATGCTAAACTGGGGAAAACAAAGAAAGGCAAAACACAATCCCTGCTTTCAAGGAGCTCAGCGTCTAATGGGGTAAATTAACAACCACGTGCAAACAAAATACACACAGGATAGACTGGAGAAAATCAGCAGAGGAAAGTCACTAATATTAAGGGGGATCAGTAAAGACTTCTCATAGAAAATGGGATTTTAGGGCAGCTAGGTGGCAACAGAGCACCGGCCCTGGAGTCAGGAGGACCTGAGTTCAAACATGACCTCAGACACATGATACTCACTAGCTGTGTGACCTTGGGCAAGTCACTTAACCCTGATTGCCTTGCCAAAAAAAAGAAAATGGGATTTTAGCTAGGATTTAAGGGAAGCCAGGGAAGACAGCAAGCAGAGATGAGGAGGGACGGAATTCAGCATTATCCTCAGAAACCTGCTAGCCTTTCTCACCAGCAACACCTTTAGAACCCATTATGTCAGAGTCTGTTACGTCGCTCAGTAGATATAGCTTTCGGCCTCGAATCAGGAAGACCTGAGTTCAAATGTGACCTCAGACATTATTAGCTCTGTGACCCTAGAAAGTCACTTAATCTCTGTTTGCCTTAATCCACTGGAGAAGGAATAATAAAAACCACTCCAGAATCTTTGCCAAGAAAACTCCATGCACAGTATGGTCCACGGGTCACAAAGAGTCAGACATGACTCAACAATAATAACAGAGCTTGTACCCTCAATGCCTGCTTTCTCTGTTCTTCTTGCAGGGCAGAATGGCCGCTGGAATAAGTTATGAATTGCCAAAGACTTGACTTGCAAATTCAAGCTAATTTGAAGGAAGCTAGAACCTGTATGACATTGTATATGTCACTTAACTTCTCAGCTTCAATTATTTCTGTTTACATTTAGTCCTTAGAGAACTCAATGACTTTTTAAAAACTCCTTTCCAGCTCTAAATCTATAATCCTATGACGTCTCCCAGAGCTGTCTGGCAATACTTTTTGTTTAGCTTAGCATGTTATAGTGGATAGAGAGCTGGCATCAGAGTCAAGGAGACCTGGGTTACCTGGGCAAACCACAATCTCCCAAGACCTCCACAACTCTTTGAGACTCTAAGTTGCATGAAGAGTGTCAGCTTGCATTGGAAGAGG